TGATAAGAGCCTTCAGAAGATTCACATACTTGCTTGATCTGTATTTCATCCGTTATTCTCAGGATGGATAACTGGTTTTTGAATAATCACGGCCAGCAATAGTTTTTTGTCTCAAACAACGATATTGTTCACCTACATTTCATCATCGAGCCAAACACATTGAAGTATGGAATCTAACATTTTCCACGTCTTGTTCCTATACCTGGCACTGGCGCAATATTTGCTATTAGAGCATCTGGTCCATACACAAATATATGTCAATCTGTGATTTTATATACAGTGCGTTCATAAAGTGTGGAAACGCTCCATTATCTTACGATATAATCATTTTTAGAGGTAAAGCTCGGACAGGTCGATTTTGTATTTCAGTCTTCCATCTTTCTTTACAAAAAAATAATTTTTTCCTCCACCACCTTACAAGATATGACGTCATCGATATTTTATTTTAAATTGAAAGGGTATATTTTTATATCAAAAATTGAAAGCCCATATTTTTCTGAGTTCAACCATACCACATACGTCATATCTTACACTTCAAGTTACAGTATACTGAGTATAAAAGAAACCAGTGTTCATATTTCTCAACATTCATTTCATTATTTATTTGCAATGAAAATATCATGAGAAGTAGTGAAAATAAACAAATAACAAATCTACAGCAAATGCTCGAACTGAGCTCCTTGGGTTAGTTGACAATATCCAAGACGTCTGGTGAATTCTTGGGTTACGTTTGACAACATATCTGGTGTAATTCGTTGAATTTCAGTTCGAATTCTCTCTTCAAGGTCTTCCAAACTGGGGGGTCGGTTTATGTACACTTTACTTTTTAAGTAACCCCAGAGGAAGAAGTCCATGGGAGTTAAATCTGGGGACCTAGCAGGCCATTCAATCTGTCCGCGTCGTCCAATCCAGCGATTGGGGAACGTTTCATTAAGAAAATCTCTAACTACTCGAGCATAATGTGGACCTGCTCCATCCTGATGGAACCAAATAGTAGAAACTATTCGATCAGGTTGATTGATATCTGGAAATGTCTCAGTTAAATATGGAACTACATAAGTTTGTAACATTTCCAAATAATTTCCACCCGTCACAGTACCGTCAAAAAAATATGGTCCTACAATGGTATTCCTAAGAATCCCAGCCCACACAGTGACTTTTTGGGGATATTGGGTATGAGTTTCCATCGTCCAATTGGGATTTTCTGGTGCCCAATAACGACAATTCTGCTTATTCACAGTACCGTTTGTAAAAAAAGTTGATTCGTCCGAAAATAAGACATTAAATTCAAACCCATCGTTTTGATTACATACTTCTTGCATAATTTCACAAAACTCCATGCGCCTATCGAAGTCGTCTTCATTAAGTTCATGTATCAGTTAAATTTTATATGGATGTAATTTGGCTGCTCTTAGAATATCTCATTGTTTTCAGATAAAGTTGTGATTGAACAATGAGGATTTTCTTCAATTCCAAGTAATACATTCTTAGGCTTATGCCTAACATTGCCAATTTCATTAAATTTATGTAATATTTTGTTTACCGTCGATTTGCTTATTGGTTCTCGATTAGGATATTTTTCATTAAAGATTTCGCATACTTCTGCCATACTTCTTTTACGATCGCCGTAACCTAAGATCATCAGAACTTCTATTCTCTGTTTTTCTGACAGCCCCATCGTTATTTCAAATAATAGCTTTTAGGGTAATATTTTTCAGAAAGTTATTATTGCAGACTTATAAATCGATATGCTACACAACAAATCAATTTAATAATGACATATGCAATGGTAACTAAGAACATATCGTCTGATTGCTAAGGGCTTTCAGATGTTTTCATAGCTTACTACTCAAGTATGGCAAATATACTCGTACTAACTACTGAGTAATTCTCAGGTTTCCATTGCAAAATAAATAATTAAATGAATGTTGAGAAATATGAACACTGGTTTCTTTTATACTCAGTATACTGTAACTTGAAGTGTAAGATATGACGTATGTGGTATGGTTGAACTCAGAAAAATATGGGCTTTCAATTTTTGATATGAAAATATACCCTTTCAATTTAAAAAAAATATCTATGACGTCATATCTTGTAAGGTGGTGGGGGAAAAATTATTTTTTTGTAAAAAAAGATGGAAGACTAAAATACAAAATCGACCTGTCCGAGCTTCACCTCTGAAAATAATTATATCGTAAGATAATGGAGCGTTTCCACACTTTATGAACGCACTGTATATTGAAACTACAATTCGAACATCCTTGAAAATTGAATGAACCTGATGCTGTTATTGCAGGTACAATATTCTTACCACACGGATTATTTGTTGCATTGCATGTATATGGCACGGCATTGGTGGTTACTACACATATTTATTTGAGTTAATCGTTTCGGATGCATTTGGATCAAAAGTGATTCGCAAATTTTGCTTCCGCTCGGCTTCGGTACACGCTCCGCCTCGCAAATGCAAAATTCGATTGTCAAACAAAGTGTCACTTTTGGTCCTAATAAAACAATCTACTATGAATTTGATTATTTATTAAATAGTTCATTCCCCTTTGAGCGTCTTGGCAATTCCGTAGTTTGGATATGGGACTCACAACTCTTGTCATGTATTATACTGATTCGACACTTATACCATTCTTATCTGTTGCAGGCTTACATAGGAGTGATTACATACATGATTCTTATGATTCAGTTCGATCAAAATTCAACCCAGGAAACCAATACGGTATCGTCATTATACTGATTGATAGTAATTGACAAATCTGATTGTGACATAGGTGATTCAACTAATCAAAAACTTCAAAGCGAAATTATAACTTTTAATATGTTATTCTATCATAATGACGACTATTCGGTAGATATAACAGTATCTGATCAATATTATACATTACTGTTTCACTTTCCTGATACACCCATAATATTCATGAACTCATTTATAGTGAATGCTGTCAAAATTATGGAATAAATAATAATTCTCCTTTTCGAGAAGAGGTTGACTTTTACCTTCGGATTAAGTCTATGGCAAATATATCATAGTATACCATTTCATCTTCAAATTGAGCCTGTTAATACCAAACAGAAAATTCAATAAAAACACAGTTTTCGAATTTGTATCTCCACATATATTGAATAATCATATTCCATAACTAACAGGATATTGATTGAGAAACGACTCTTATTAATACATTCTGATAGGAGAAATAATTCACATGACCATATTGATTAAATTCAAAGCATCAGGAATGGATCTTTGAACATGTGCCACTTATCTAGCACAATTATCAATATCAATTGTAATAATGTTTCCATGTATGATCTTCTCCAACTAAAATTTGTGGCAACTGCACAAATAAATCTTTCCAAACTGGAGCACGCTAGTGAATGAATGCTGAATCTCGCCATCGCAGGTACATACAACCTATCAACTTTCGAAGGTATATGGAAGAGTCGCCCTTGTTCCATCTTATAGTTCGACTTCAATTCTTTATCGGAACATCCAGCCGTTAGGTTGCACGAGCTCTCACGCTCTCGAATCTTCCGAAACCGTTGAGAACTAGTCATCTTCTGCCATAACAACAACACTGACCATCGCCATAGGTGAATCCCTACTCATAACATCAACATGCTGCATACGTCCTGCAGGACGATATTCTCCATGTCGTACCCTTGTAACGGCAACCACTATCTCACGACTCTGGGTACCAAGTTCCGCGTGAGCAGGGCTGCTCTCGTACCGCTACACAATCAGTTACCACTCTGGAGTGAACATCAGCAAGATACGCCCTGAAATGTTCAATAGATTCAACAACCGCTCTAATTTATCAGTTCATAGCTATGATACACTTGTCCCTTCGCCATCGTCGCCCTACTGAAGAACTTCACTGGTCTGAGATTGTCACTAGCTTATTTCTGTAAGAGAATATCTGAAACACCTAGTTTACTAGCGTCAGTATACAATTCAAGGTCCGCTCGACTGTCGTATATTCTAAATCTAGGTTGATTCGCCAAATGATTCTCCGAAAAGTCAAATGCCTCCTGTTGCTCACTTAACCAACGCCAAGGTTCGTTCTTTTTCGTGAGATGTATCAACGGTTTCGCCAACACCGCAAAATCATAAATGAATTTCCTGAGAAACAGCCCACGTCCATGTGCCAGACCCATCAGTCATTATAATTTGGGGGACTGAATGAAACTCATACCACGTGTTACTAGGGTCATATTGAACAAAAAAGTCAGGGGGGGCCATCATGAGGAGGTAGCTTTCAGATATCGCGGCCGTTCAAAATGGCGGACGAATGTAAATATTTGAATGCAATTATCTCAGGATGGGGTGGATCAAATTCGAATTTCTTCCACTCAAAATATAGGATATTCTGCTAGCTTCATTTTTGTTGCTCATACTCAAGGCTGAAAAATCAATATTTTTGTGCCAAAATTAAAAAAAACGGAAAATAAGGTTTTTGAAATTTACGTTATGTTGTTTATTGTTCTAACGGTTGAGTATATCGAAAATGTACTAGATATAGAAGTTGTAGAGGAATATCTTAGCTTCAAAACATTGGCAAGAAATCAAAGATCGAATCAATAGAACGCGAAATATCCAGATTGAAAGCGGGCGGAGCAGAGTTCAATTCTGCCTAGCGGGAAGCGTACAATCGACCACTAGATGGTTTCACATCACCTAATAAAGTGCATTATTTTTGTAACATGATTTTCAATCACCTAAACTAATAACTATCATCAACAATAATCATATAATTTATCTGGAATATGGATAACAATAATAATCAATAAAAGTCATATATTGTCAACTTTTAATATCTCGGTATTGAACAGCAACTTGTCAATGAACTTAAATAAAGTGAGGTAATTGAATGACGAAGAAAGTAGAACAACTTAGGCAGATATTAAAAACATTGAACAAAACAATCAAACAATAAGAAATCAAAACGACTTATGTATGCCTCACATAAATATCACTAAAAAAATTGGATTCAATCTTCCTCACTAGAATCACTATTATAGTTATTATAATTACACTCTTCCTCATCTGCTGTTTCTTTGGTACACCCCTTGCACCCACAGCTCTCGGTGCATCGGATTTGAGTTGCTAAGCACGAGCAAGTTTCTGGTGCACAGTTGCTCTTGCAGTGGCACCGCAGAAAGGAGAGTACGCACTCCAGTGCTGGCAAGCCTTCCATCCACTTGACAGATAAGTTACCTGATATGTCCTTTTCCCACCCATGAGAGAAAGGATCTGGAATTAGCGGTTTGGTTTCCAGGCTTCTGAGCCAAATTCCGGCTTGATAGTTGGCACGTTTATTGTGTTGTCTCAAAGTGTCTTTACAAGGAGGCATTTGAAAGCTTTCAATTTGACCCTCCTTTCCTCTGAACATCTGATAGCGCAGCTCATCAACAGATTTCACCTTGCATTTGGGGGCATACAACTGGCAAACGAATTCTTCTATGATGTTATCAACATCATCAGACAGCACCCAATCTCTGCCTAATTTGCTGAACGCTTCGATACATTTTTGTTCCTTTTTGCATAAAAGCTTGAATCCTTTAACTTTTCCCTGACCAGCAAAAGCACTTACTGTATCGCAGCCAGACCAGCAATAATACCCAATGAGAGCAGTAACAAGCTGTTCACCCAAAGCAGCTACTATCTGGGAAACTTGAATAACTGTCAAAACAATTTTATGTTTCTTCACAATACATAAGCTCTTGCTTTTAATGGTTTTGCATAAACCAACTGCCAAAACTAATACATCCGTATCGTTCGAGAAGCAAAGAACTGATTCATATGATGAAGCGGCGTTTCTTGCATGCAGCATCATTCTGGAATCTGCTTCTTCTTGAGTGCAGAAAAGCTCAGGAACAGTTTTGCTTTCAAAAGACGTGATCCTAAAGCACATTTCACCGACTGTTACGAAGATTTCTTGGTTTCCAATTATACTTCTAAATTTATCCTCTTTCCAACTGTCTACAAAGAATTTGATCATTTTATTTTTGCTTTCACTGTTTCTTAACAGCTTTCTCCAACAAACTACTTTGTGGCCACCCTTAATTTCACTAAATTTGATACCTTCAGCGGTTCCCCTTTTTTCTCGCTCCAATGATTTGATCGAAACCTCTCGGTAAACATCGAATACTATGTCAACCCTACAGCAATTTCGACCTATATTCAAAACTTGCTTAAAAACAATCATTGACAATTCCTCGAACGTTTTTTGTTCCCCTTTTATGGACTGTAGCACAGCCATTGCATCAATCAAGCAGGCCGATTCTTTTTCTGGAAGACTGGCAGGAGTAGTGTATTTTTCTAAAAAATGGGCAAACACTGATTTGCAGGTTTTCTTTAGAGACCCATCGACATTCGCCAGTGTCCATGGAAACGGCGCAAGAGGATATTTGAACACTTCCTTCATGTCTAGTTGTTGGTTTTCTGCAATATATGTCATTCTGCTGAATAGATTCCGGTCGCACTGGAGTATTACTTCTTTGTTTCCGACCTCAGTTGTTTTGCTCTTCTTTGTTCTACTTATCTTCAAACCAACTTTTTTTATAGGTTTATGAAACCCTTCTCCGTTAGCTAGCCGAGACGTGAACTCTTGATAAGCTATTTTCCCTTTTGTCTCTGAATCAATGAGATCTGAAGCTGTTGATTCATCAACAGATATTCCAGTAGACAAATGTACAATATCTGAAGGGTTGTTATCGAAGGGGTTCGTCCACTCGTTAGCCAGAAGTTCAGCGAGAGCTGTCACGTCTTTTTCATCTATGATTATTCGTTGGCTCCTGAGGTCAGGGTGGCATTGACTTGTTTTGCTGGATGATAGAATACTGCGAAGGTTTCTGAGTGCAGAAGCTCTATGCTCAGCATTAACATAATACCGTGCTACTGCTTGCTTTTTCAGACTGAAACCCTTAGTACCTCCAGGAGTTTGGGTATCTTTGTTCACAGTTTCTTCGATGGCCTGGTCCACTGGAATTCTAGAAAAGGAATTGTTGCTTCTCAATTGAACTGAAAAACCTCCATCTACAAAGTATTGGTGAACAAAAAGATTATCCTTTTCTAGTTTAGTTAGTTCAAGGAAGTGGTATGATAGATATCGTGAGTAGTTCACTCTATCCAGTGCAAAACACCAAGGCACCATTTTTTCAACTGCTGCTAAAAACAAGAACCAATTTCCTTCCCGATTAGCTCGAAGAAAAGCTAAAACAATCTCTACAAGGTCGATGTATTTCATCCAAAATGACGACATTGCTCCATTACTTGTCCGAAGATGTGTCAAGTAGTTGTCAAAATACTTTAGAATGGTTCGAACATCTTCATCTTGGAGAATAGAGTTATGGGATACATAGTTCGTCTCATGACATAGAGAAGTGAAGCATTGTGAGACGTGGGCAAGGTTCAACTCATTTGAATCCAGCCATTCCAAAAACCCAGAGTAGAGAACTATCATGCAGGCTTCATAGACGAGCTTGTGTAAGCGAATAGCGCGATTGTAGTGCTTACCATCCAGAACTTTATCTATGGAACCCTCTGCTATCACACCTGAATCTACGGCTAGGTCTCGAAGTCCGTAATTACCAAATAGTAAACCAATGATAGACAGAAGGTTGCAAATTGTGTGGAAGTTCCCCATCATGGGAAAGATTCGCCATGATTGTTCTTGTTGATGTGCCCATAATATTTCAACAGCTTTGCAGTATAGGGCTTGGTCCATTACAACTACTATGCAGTCCATCTGCAAGTATTTTCTTATTTCTTCACTTCGTCTCAGAATTTGTAGAACTGTTGCCTTTTCCGTGGCGGGGCTGTCTATTGTTGGCAAATAGTTCAACCTGTCTGGGAGTACTTATAGGTGACCACTCGTGAGTATATTAAATCCAGTCCACGAACAGGTTTTTTGGGTTTTGGGTTCCACAAGTCTTGTTAAGAACCATACATAGTTCTTATGTTTTGCTTCATCAACAGATGATGCACACTCAACAGGAAGATCGGCTGCTTCGATTGGTAGAGGCCCATTTCTTGTTTTTTCTATGTAGCATGGGAGAGGTCGATCATCTATTTCTATTTTCCTTATCTTCTCATTGATAGGCGCCAAAGTAGGGAGAGCATTTTGTGATCTAGTGATAGAACTTTCAGTGAATGGTTGAATTATTATGCCATTAACTCTGTGAGAAGTCCCACTTCCCTTGAGAGTTTCTTCAAGCCTATCAATATTGTCGAAGGCAAGCACAGTAGGAATGGATTGGTGGACATCACTGGGCAGAGGAACAGAAAGTGATAAAGCCAAAGAAAGGTTTTGTTTCTCAATACACCATGCGTTATCATGTAATGATTTTATAATCATTCCATTTATAATTATATTTTTTGCATAATAATTTCAACATTATCATATTATCGATATATCTACATACAATTTTCGAATCATTTCCTATAGTCTATCTTAATCTGAATTATATCTATCAAATTTATCTGACTCCAAATCTGTAACAAATATCTGAATGCCTTTAAAATCAATTTCGATACCATTTGTGCCATCTATCGAATGGTAGCGCAACTTCAACGATAACGCAGGTAGCTTAAATCCGCTGAAATAGAATTCGCTTAGACAAAATCTAACTGTTCGTCGATAATATCGATGTGAAGAGTGCGCTGCGAATCGAAAAAGCAGAAGGTTAACGAAGAACTCGAAAATCCTACTTCTCGTCAGAACCACCAAAGAGTACAGTTCATAACGTAGAACGCAAGTCGGTGAGAATTTGGTATGATCGAATCTTTTTAAAAATATCTATATAATCTAAAATCATTTTGATTTAATATCATGACTAATTAATTATTGCAATTATTAGTAATTCTTCAATTAATATATTTTTCAGAATATGAATATCATAGCATAATATAAATGTAGAGTTTGATTGGCGGCCATTTTATGAGGCTTTTTAATAATCGTAATCTTTTTGAATAAAGTCAATCCTTCATTGAATTTATATTTATAAATGATTATTCAGAATTTTTGATTCGTACATCACTGATGTTAATGATATTTTCATAATTTCTATTTTTTCTACAGCTCAACCAAACATTTTCTTTCTCGTGTTCGTATTTTGGTTTTAGCCATCTTTGAAGTTCTTCGATGCAGTGTATCCTATTATTAGAGACCCTGCCATATTTTTGGGTATCTTATCGCAGAATCTAACGAAACGAGGACGAAAAGTGGAAATTGGAGGTTGTCAGCTCATGGAAATGGAAGCTCTATCAACTTGAAGGGTGAGTAAGATTTTTCTATTATACTTTTCAAGTATTTTTTTGGGTTATACCATATTTGTGGGAAACATCTTACTCTACCTACAAGTTATCCATCAGCTGACAAACTTGTAATCTTACATTTGAGTTACATATTTTTTCTTTTTGTGAATTATAAATTTAATCATATAAAATTTACATCAATATTCTCTCAAAAGATTATCGATCATACATAATTTGCATCAGACTTGATTTCTACGTATCTCTTGTATATCTAAGTATTTCTCAATATATGAGTTATCTTTGGTTGTTTTGGTTCAGATATTGATGAGGATATTATCTCCACTATCTCCATATATTATTATCTCCTCATTCTCATTATCGTATGATTATTTCGATATTATTATCACGATATCATCATCTTGATATTATTATATCTATATTGCTCAATATATCATTATTAGCTCTATTGATGATATCTGGTATTCTCTATCTTTTGGTGTAGAAGTTAATAATTTTGATAAGTAAATCAGATTTTTGACATTCAGATATTTGTTTCTGATGAACAATTTGCTTATTTCATAGGTTTTCTTATGATAGTTATTGATAATTTTGATAATTTTCGATTATCAAACATATATAAATTTCTTCATTTCATGAGAAATTGAGTTTCTATTTTCATTATTGGTAATTTTGATAATTTTCAATATTCAGACATATAAATCTCTTTATTTCAGGATAAATTAAATGTTCTTCTTTCTATCTTCCATTTTGATTAATTGTCAATTTGAATTACATCAAATTGTAGTTTTTCAAGCATTCAACTTGAAATAAGTTGAATATATATCTAAAAATTTACCTAAAAACGTTTTTAGAAGATTATATAGGTTGAAGAATCCTATTTTCTATGTAAATATAGGTAGTTTGTTATTCATTAGTATTATCATTGATATTGTATATTTTTTTCCCACTTCACATATTACTCCAAGACTCCCTACTGACTTTTGATGTTTTTCTTCAACTATTTCATGTAACTGACTGACACCTCTATATCATCACTTTTGTTTGCTGAGATCTCCAAAGGACTCGTTAGAACTACCAGGTATCTCTGTCCACAACTACCAAGTCCTCTGATGGGTCAATAAACCAGGAATGGGGAATACCACTACAAACACCCTGTGTGGTATAAAATTGACCAAGGTGAAGAAGTTGGGATAAGTACTGGATAAGGTCCAATAGCCAGGTAACAATCAGATCCAGGATAAAAAGCAGTAGCTCGAGAGTTTTGCGTTGTGAAGAGAGTTGTAAATAATTCATTCATTAGTTGATACCCATCATCATGTATAAAATCATTAAATAGAGGTAATTGTTTTGACTGAGCGTTTTTCATTTATTTCTGAGCAGGGAAATTTATCCAAGTCAATGTGGATAAGTTTCTGGCGCCTTTTCACTGGTGTATGAGACTTGCAACAATCTGACCCACCCCCTGAGAGACGATAAAAATATTTAGTTATTTTTACGTTACAATCAATTTCAAGCAGCTTGGTAACACTACAACCATGGCCAAGCCGATTCAACTATTTCACTGCTTCTACGTTGCCTGTCACGGACTTGATAGCCAAAGGAAGAATCAAGTGTTTTGGTGTGAGAAACTTTCCACAAGACACTGCATATAGTATATCTTGAGCTATAGACCGTATCGCTACTTTATTCCTAGTACTACTCAGGAGCTTTGCCAAGAAAGTAAGAAGTATCTCCGGTCCTTGGAAGTCATCAATGGACAGGTTGTTGATATTTGGTGGCCAAATTTGTTCCACCGAGGAAATGGATCTATTTATTGAACTCTTAATGATATCGGCTGCTACTTCAATCTGTTCACTGACATCGAGACCACGCTCAAAGGCGTCCAATTTATTCTTCGTGTTGATATAGTCACTAGCTAGGGCTTCAAAAGTATAATTGGAAGGAGCTATATACACCTTGTTGTTAACATTGGTACATCTCAACAGATCACCGAATTCTTTGTCCAATTTATACTGAAAATTTGTTTTAGTGGATGCCTTAATTTCGAATCCAACGCTGGACAAATGTGAGGTAACTTTGTCAATCAGTTCAGCTCTGGCAATCAAACGTGGGTTTCTGAACAAATCAGTTCGAATGTAATCACACATGCTACTGAAAGCGTCAGTCTCTTCTTTGGAGTACGGATCTGAGAAAGTATGTACCTTCTCTGGTCGTTTCCTTGTATAGGACTTGTAGCAGGAATGATGATAGTGAGCCTCACCAGCGACAATATCTCGTGTAGTTATTGCTATGATTTTAGCATCCATTCGCACGATTGCTACAGCCCGAAGTGTTTTGTCCGCTCTGAGATCAACGGATTGGACACATTTCTCCCTTGTCTTCGAATTTTTTGAGTATTTTCCTGTCTTGTCACAAAAAATGCAGATATCCATGTAAACACGCTCTGTAGTATTGCCATTTTTCCGGTCAGGCAACGATCTTCTGATGGATGATGTTGATGGAGTTTCGTTGATATTATCTTCTTTATCTTCATCATGTGAAGGACCTTAATCTGCGACGCGAACAATTCTTTCAAGATTTTTTTTGTGGACGAAACTTTTGCGACATTCTTTATGGTAGTAAATACCAGGAATTTCTTGGTCAGTTAACGTCTCTTGCAGTTTCATTATGAGTTCAAATTTTCTCAGTACCGCAGCATTGTACAAAGTGTTCCATGAATCCAAGTCTTTCGATTGGTGTAGATTAACAGGCGTAGAACTTTCACAAATTAAAAGATCAATTGATATACTTATATCGGTATATAAGTATACCGATAAGAAAATGTTTTTTTTTTTTTTTTTTTTTTTTACCTGTCAATATTGACTAGATAAACCTGCCACGTAGTGACATTAACAGAAACAAAAAACTCACAAGAAACTGTTCATTAATCAGCTCTTCTTCTCAGGCCAGTCTTGGGCAAATCTATAGTAGCAGCGCCTCGTATGAGTGCCTGTATTGTATATTATATATTAACGATATCACCTTATAGCTACGCCATTGTAGCTAGAATGTGGTAAAGATGCTTAGTCAGGAAATGTCAGCAGTCTGAAGTCGAACAGCGTTGAATATTGAAAATACGAATAATAACAAGACTTTGGAGTTAATTCCATCATCATTAGGGATGATTGCCTCTTGTAGTTTACATATTTTTCGTTATATCCAGCGTTTGCGGGATGTCTATAACAAAAAAACCAAACCCTGCATTCAGATGATAAACAAGGCCATAGTACCGTAGCGGCGCCTCGTATGAGTGCCTGTATAGTAAGTACATTTTTCATTTTATCCAGCGTGTGCCGAATGTCCATAATGAAAAAACCAAACCCTGCAGTCAGTTGATAAACAAGGTCATAGTACCGTAGCGGCGCCTCGTATGAGTGCCTGTTAGTACTTTTTTCATTTTATCCAGCGTGTGCCGAATGTCCATAATGAAAAAACCAAACCCTGTAGTCAGCTGATGAACAAGGCTATAGCACATTTGCTATAGTAGCGGCGCCTCGTATGAGTGCCTGTATAGTATATTTTTCATTCTATCCAGCGTGTGCCGGATGTCTATAATGGAAAATCCAAATGCTGTCGAATTAAAACTGAACATTCCCATCATGCTTTGTGTGTCCACCATTCCTCAATTTCCAGCTATGATGTAATTAAGTAATGTGTAGGTACTTACTCGATAAACTCGATCGACTAAATATTTCTTGGCACTCTAATTTTCTTTTTCAATTTAGGTATCTTTTTATAATCTTTCGTTGATTTTCCACTTTTGCCCATGATTAGGTACACTTTTTATCACGTTACTAAAACCACAGTTGCTAAAACTAAAACACCTCTAAATCAACACTTGTCTCTGAAACGTTCATACCCTAGCGGTACGAAAAGAACAATGACTATCGGCTGCTAGGCGGTAACGGTCGGGCACAGGAATGTTAGGTATCAGGGTGGATGTTGAAAATTTGTCTTTGAACTTCGTACCTAGTAGAGTCGAAAGGAACGACTACAAGTGGTTATTTTTATAATTCGAGACGAAAATGTGAAATATAATTA